AAACTCAACATATTTGCAAACTATTTATAACTATATAGTATTATTTCATTAAAAACTTCATATATTGTGATATTATTATGTTGACAATTAGATTTATTATGGATTTATTCGTTATATATATAATTATGTTTATTGAATTTTTATTTAATTATTACATCACTTCTTCAATTGCTAAGCCAACTGATTGGATGATGAGAATTATAATGCAATGATCTTTTGATTTAATATTTGATCTGAATTTTAAAACATTGCCTATATTACAATTTCTTTCCACCTTTCTATATCAAAGATACACACACACACACACACACACATATATTAATTAGATAATGACATTGGTATTCATATCCCTCTTACTTATCTACTTCCACAAATCTAATTAAAGATTTAATACCAATTTACACACCCACACACACACACACACACACCTGTTTGTGTATTTGACCAGAAACATCATTTTATAATAATGTGGCTAATTTCAGTTAAAGACAAACCTTATCAATTCCACTTTAAGCCACATGAAAATAAAAGAAAAGGGAGGAAAACAACTCAAACCTACCCAATTCTAACAAGGAGAATGAATTGAGACTGAAATCCTTCCTTTACCAGAATGAACAATATAATCTCTCTCTCTCTCTCTCTCTCTATGCATATATACAATTATATACGGAAGACTCAATCATATCTGGTTTATAATTAATTAACTCAAAACAAATCCCATAATGCAATATTATTAATAATTTTGTGATGCTTTCATGCATTCAACGCTTAAAGTTAGCTTGGTAGTTCAACCACGCACTACCATATAATTAAGCATTAAAAAAAAAAATCTAAGGAGACGTATGTACCACAGGATTTGCATGCTACCTCCCCCATCGTTTTCAATTAAATGGAGCAGATCACTATATATATATATATATATAAAGGAAATTTGTTAATTAAAGTCTGTGGAATTGACGTTGCGCATGATGATGAGAAAAGGTCCAACTAGTTTGATATATTATTGACTTTGTTCAACCTAACCTCGTACCAATTTGGTGGTTCAAACACATACACAATATACCTTGTGTATTCTAATTAATTAAGGGTTTTATAATACTCTCTTGCTCCCAATTATAGAAGTTAGATAACTAATTCATAAAGATTAATGTGAAATTAGTTAAATCATTTGCAAAAGTGGAAATTAATTAATCAATTTTTATGGTTTTATCTGATTTTTTATTAGTTCCATCTAGTATTTCTTCTTTTTCCCGGGATCATTATAGTTTATTTTTTCAATTATTATCATTGGTCTTTAAACTCATAATATGTTAATTAGAGTTAATGTTGAAAGAAATAAAGTCATGAAATGAAATTTATTTATTATTAACATAAAAATAAAAATAAAAAATCATAATAATAACCGTTTCATTACATCTATCTATATATAATATATAATTTGATTGATTTTAATAATATTTAGACTCATGTGGAAAAATTAATTCAGGTATATGTTGAGGGAGAGTCACTTTATCTTTCTTTTACAAATGACAAATTATAAGTATAAGGACTAACACCTAAAATAAATAAAAAATTGTGGGAAAACCCAATAAAAAAATTATATGGACTAAATAATCAGATGAAATTATAAGAACCCAATAAAAAATATATATATGGACTAAATAATCAAATGAAATTATAAGAAGTTATGGATTAATTTTTCTTTCTAAAAAATGTGGGTCAATTTTCTTAAAATATGCCTTTTAATGATTTATATATATTTAAAATTAATTCCTTCATAGAAATTCCCTTTCAATATGCGAATAACAAGGATAATTCAAAAATAAAATTATAAATTTTGAATACAAAATGAATTGAAATGATATATTTAAACTCAAAATAAAATGATCACAGCATCATGAAAGTACTAGGTATATCAATTGGTTCAAGTTTAAATATTGTATTTGGATCTATAATGAAAAAAGCCCTTTTATTTATCATTAATTTTTTTAGAAAATTGGGGATAAATTCTTGATCAAGAAATTAATTGATAAATAATACCTAAAGACTTTATACAATGTAATGCTGCTTATATGCAATCACCTTCCCTTTCACCACATCTTCTCTTTATTAACTGAACTTTTTATATGTACAATCCGTTTTTTCTTACGTGCAATTATTTTCTTTATGTGTAAATTAGTCTCTTGTATTTAAATAATGTTTTGTGCAAACTATTTTTTCTATGCTCAAGTCAACCATATGCTAATTAATCTTTTAATGTAGGTTTTATTCCTATTTTTTTCTTAAGTTTTTTTCATCCACAAGTTTAGAATTATTAATATTATCCTTTTACCCCCCTTCAATTATTAGTCTTATCTTTTTTTATATTAATCTTGTCTAATGACCTCCAATCAAGCATATTAATGATAATTTAATATCAAAACAAAAGCACTCAAAAGTCTAAGTTTGAGAACAATTAATTAATTAACATAGCTTTAACCCTTCACTGTTAGCTAATAAACTGAAAGTTAGTGTTGTCTCAGTAGAGTGAATAACTTAAATTAATGCTGGCAAAAAAAAAAACTTAATTAATACTCCTTTGGTCCTATTGATAAAACATTTCCAGCATGTTTCACACAGACCAAAAAAAACCTTAAACTTTATTAACTCTCATTTAAATTTTAATAACTTTTCAACTTTATCCCTATTTAATATACATTATACCTTATATAAACAAAATCAACACAATAATAAATGATGGGTAAAATTGTATATCCATATAAAAAATTTCTCTCAGTACCTTATAAATAGGACCAAAAAATACCTTCTCTCTGTTCTATAAATAGGACCAGAAGAGTATAAAATATGGGGCACAATTAATTAATTAATTAATTGTGTGTGCGCGCGCGCATCGTCATCAATAATAAACAGAAGCGTACACGCTGTGAACTCATTGGGTCCAATAGTTAAAAAGTGGCTGGTTGGGTGCATGCTTCACGTGTAAGAATGAAAGGCTCTTTACGAAACTTTCACTTCTCACCAATGAATTAAATTTAATTAATTAATTATATTATATTTTCATAATTAATGATAACAATCTCTTAATTGTGCTCAAAGTATCATTCTCCACATAACATATATATATATATAGATATATCTGTGTGTGCGCGCACGCGCTTAATATTCTAATTCATATCAATCAAACAGTTATCGTCTTCCACTTCACGACTTCTAATTAAATTCCCCCCCTCACTACTTTCCCACAAAGACGCATATGCCTTTCCATATATATAGACACACACACACACACACACCACTTATTTAATTGCAACAGAATTGGATGCTATTATCCATATACTCCCTAGGTGCTTTTTAAGAATAAATTCATAATCCCTAATACATGTCATTAGAGAGTTATTAATTAATATTTTTCATTTTTATTTTTATTGCAAATTAGTAAAAGAATCTAATTCTAATTTGATATTTCTATGTTACTTATTGAATGTCGTGTTTTTCTATCTTTCTCTTGCTTCCATCAATGTTCTTCAATTGGAGCAAAGTTGATTTTTTTTTAAAAAAAAATTTTAAATAGATATAATGAGTTGACTACTTTTTTTAAAATATAATTCTGATAAAGTGATTGAAAATAACTTGTAATGGAGTAAGTATATTTTCTCTCAATAATTCTTGACATAAGGTGCGGAAATGTTAATTCAATATCAACAGAAATTAAATATAAAATATAAACTGCCTACATTTCATATAAAAAGATATATTAGGAAACTTAGGCTAAATTACTCATATTCATTATGTCAAGTCCTTCAATCATACGTGATCATGTGTTGTTTTTTTTTTTTGGTTTCATGTGAATTTATAATTATTAAATACTAATATTTTAAAAATAAAACACATAATGTGTAATTGGAAGACTTAATATAAGGGATATTAGTAACTTGATATAAATATTGTCCCATCTAAAACTACTAAAAATCCAAGGCTCAAAGTCTGAAAATAGAAAAACATAACAACATACCATTCTGGAAACCAACCCAACAACATATAAACCAAATAGAGCATGAAATTTTTAACTGGGAGTCCTAGAGGAAGATTAACATCTTAAAGACCAGACCAAACTTAAATTCCATCCCATAGTTGTAAGTTGTAACTCCACCAAACCAGACACTACTAGAAGTTTCAAAATGTCAAGGTAGATTATTTTAAAAGTATTTGAAAACGTATTTGATATGTTTAATAAAAGATTACTTCCACACAAACGTAATTTTAATCACGTGAGACCGGTTTTTAAAACATGCCCTTATTTATTTTTCTTTCTTTCTTAAACTAAATTTTCCCAAATCTAAAAAAAAGTTTAATTAAATCTCCCAATCTTGTTTAATTTTAAAAAAATAATTACTACCATCCACATAACTAATATACAAGTCTAACTAAATAAATATCATAACTATCTCTATATGAGATTATGAAAAATATCATACTACCAGAAGATATACTTTATTTTCGGAGATTATAAACAATATCAAACTATCCCTATATCTATATGATATTAACAAATCATATGTAAGATTATGTCAACAACAGAAAATCAATTACTCAATCAGTTATATTAAATCATTGATTATAATCAATCCTTAACTGAATCGATGGATATGGTAATATAAATTGATTGGATATACTAATTGCCCATTTAATGCTAATGTAAATTTAACTAATTAAATAATTAAACACATAACGAATTATTATTAAAAAAGCAGGAAGGCAAGTAGTAATTATTTCCAGTAATTATTTCCTTATTACTAGGGATTATGACAGGGAAATTGATTCAACAGAATAATGGGGGTTCGAATTTGGGGCTCAAGAAATGGGAATTCGCAATAACAACGAACACTGGGAAGTAAAAAGGCGAATCGTGGCGGCCCCACTCTCATACACGATTTCATTGATTCATTCATGCCGTTAGACTCCTTCTTCTTCTTTCTCTGGAGAGACCCCTTTTGGGTTTGAAGCAATATAAAAGCGCTCGCATGAATTGAATTGACGCTCGCCACAAATACGAGCGAAAATCGCATCTCTCGTTGCAGTCGCTTTGGGACAAGCACTAGACTCACTCTATCTCTTGCTTCGTCCCGAAAACACAGATTCCCATTCTTCGGATTATGATTTCTGGGGGCAGAAAAAGGTGGAAGCTTTCGTAGCTTGAGGATATTGGATTCCATTCTTGTAAGAATCTCACTTCCTTTTCCTCCCTTCTCTTTTTGTTCTTTTCTTTTTCTTTCTTTCTGGGTCTATTTCATCTTCCTCCTTTCTCTCTCTCAACCTTTCTTTTGGTGCCGGTACTTTCTCCTCTCTTTCTCTTTTTGTGCCTTTGGAATGTCTCTGCAAAAGTTTGGAATTATTGGGGGCATGCCAATTTGCCCTTTGGGTTTTTTCCCCTTTTACAGTGTTGTGTCTTTTGATAAAGATTTCTTACTTCAATGACACTCTTTTGGCCTTCGTGTTCATAATCATTCTTCAGATAGTTCCGTGAATTATTTGCTTTTTGTTCGGTTTCCATGCATCTACTGTCGTTGATTTTCCTATTATTTGAGAGTATTTTTGTTCATGAAATTACCCCTCCTTCACCTTCCCTTCTCTGTAGCAGCGTTTTGTGGGGTCCAGTTCTTTTGTATTGGGAATTTCAGCGTGAATATAAAGTTCGTCCAACTTTCAATCACCCCAAAAGGATAATTGTCCTTTTCCTAAATATGCTTCTGGATGTTGCTAAAATGTCATGTTTGATTTTTAAACATGGATTTCATTGACAGGATTTCTGAAGGAGACGAGTTTATTCGAGAGATTAATCAGACCACCCACAAAATACAGATATATCTTTCAGAATGGGGGATCACTTTGTATTGCTGGTTGATCGTTTGCTCACTGAATCTACATTAGAAGCTGCACTTGAAAGCCGAAATCGTGCAATGCAGGAGGCTGCATCCTCAGCTGTGAATGAAGCACCGGAAGTTGATGTCTCTTTGATAAAGATGGGGATGGAAGATGTGAAATCTCCGAGGAAAATTGTTGAATGTCGGATATGTCATGATGAGGATGAAAATTCCAATATGGAGACACCGTGCTCCTGTTGTGGTAGTTTGAAGGTGAGGTCAATTTCTTGAATATTTGCATGTTTTCATACTTTCTAGAACTTTCTGAGTTTTCCTAGTAGACTGTAATTTCTCTCCTCGGTTCAGGTCCAGAATTCTGTCTTGAATTAATGGAAAACTCAGTGACTCTTGAGATTACTTAATTCTCGTGACATTTATAGTTTCTGTTGCCAAATTTTCCTATGTCCGATTTAATGTTAACCATAAATAAGTTTGTGTTGATTACTAATTCACTCGTATGGCTGGAAATATGAATGCGGTTTGCACAATGCTGAAACTGCTGCCATTAAAGATAGTTTAAAGGATTTTGGTGGAGTCCAGGGTATATTGTCTGGCAAGTTAATTTATCATTATGGTTCTGTCTCCATTTTATTTCATCTGCTACGGAAAATGAGCATATCAGGAGAGATTGATTAGAAGCTTCAGAAATTTTTAGGCAAACCTGCTCTTGAAATGGTACTGTTCCACTCATTCTCAAAATGATGAAGTGTCACAAACAATAAGAGATGGGTCCTACTGAAAAGTTTGACATGCTTGTGTTTAATGATTACCTTTGTCCATGTATCTTTAGTTGATTGGATCCTTTTGTTTTTAAGTTTTTAATCTTATAAGCTTTTTCTTCCATGATTATATTTCTGGAAGAATTACGACTTGTATATTCTTTTGTACATTATAAAATCTGCGCTGACCTTTGGTCTGACATGTTACGTGTAAAAGTTTTGTAAAGACCATTGAATCTTAAGTTAGTCTATTACAGAATTGTATCAGTCAACTCAATTCGCATGCTATATAATTTGATATGAACAGTAAGATGGACTATGAAATATCTCTACTCGGCGTTTTTTTTTGTTGACTGGAGTCAGCTTTTGTTCGACCAATCATAATGAGTTAGTGTTAAGTGAGGTAATATATGAAAATTATTTGGTTCTCAGAACTAACACTGCTGAATAATTTGTTCAAGTTCATTTTCCCTCCTGACATTGATGATTTACACTCTTCTACACTTAGTTATTGATTATTTTTGCAGTACGCACACCGCAGATGTATACAAAGGTGGTGTAATGAGAAGGGTGACACCATCTGTGAGATATGCCACCAGGTAACTAGAAATTTTTCCAGTTGTTTTGCTCTTACATACTTTCTACTTAGTTCCATTGAAAAATTAATCCAAGGAAACAGTATTCAGTTTATCTGGGAGTGACATCATTTTCGCTGGTTATTTGGTATTCTTGATATTTTATTCCCTACATTGGAAAATGAAATCAAACTTATTCTTCAATTTTGAGTTTCAGCAATATAAACCTGGTTATACGGCTCCACCTCCATTGTTTCGGTTTGGACGAATTCCAATGAGTTTCAGGTAACTTCCTTAACATATATGTTAAAACAATTATCTTTTCCTCCTCTATGTCTCCAATATGTTCCTGTGCTGCCTATGGTAGGGGAAATTGGGAGATTTCTAGAAGAGATTTGAACAATGGTCATCTGGTTCGCATGGTTTCCACTGACCAGAATCTTAACAATTCTAACTACGACCAGTATTCAGCTTCTACTACAGGAAGTTTACCATGCTGTCGTTCAGTTGCTCTCATTGTATTCTTTCTCTGCCTCATCTACGATTGTTCAATATGCTTTTACACATTACAAGTTTCACCACCAACTCTCTCTCTGATCTTTGTTATTTTCTATGTGCAGTTCATGGTTTTTCTTATCTTAAGACATACTCTTCCTCTCATAATCAGTGGGAACAAGGACTATTCCTTTTCGCTGTTTTTGGTATGCCTGATTCACTATAACATCCGCATTTGATGGTACAAGTACTCTTACTAAGCATTGATCCATTCAATTGGAAATTTACAGTTGTTACTAATTCGAGCTGCGGGAATTGTTATTCCCATATATTTCATGGTGAAAGCGGTGACATCCATACAACGCCATAGGCGACAACAACGGGTATGTTTGACCTCCTTCCTCTTTACCGTGTTTACAAAACTCACAGGAAACATCTAATTACTTATTGTGAGGTCTCTTGTGTTCTTGTTTGCAAACAATTAGGAGCCTTCTAATGCCTTGGTCAACCTATCGGATGATGAAAGGGAGCAAGTAACTCTGCCCTCTCAGCTTCATGTTATTCGTGTTCAGTGAAAATGCTGTACATAAAACAACTTGAAGTAATACGAGTATCAAGCAATCTTTCTTCTGCTTTGTGATGAAAACTAGATGAAGACAGCTTCCTCTAGAACTTTGAACGGTTGAGGAGTTAGCAGTTTATTTATTGGAAAACACAGAAACTGTGGTATTGCTGGCCACTGCTGTTACCTGGAAACAACTCCTTGGCAAGTCTGGTGTGGCGGCAAGAATTCCCATTGCTGCTTATAATTTGGAGTTCTCAAGTGTATAGAGAATTTTATATAGAGGGGAAAAATATACTGGGAGTAGATGTCAAATATGGATTTATATTCCTGTATATATTATAATGCAAGGCATGCGTCTTTCAGACTTTAATCTCAGACCTATTTTTCTGGCTTCCTTAAAACTTTTTCATGCTATTTGCATATGCTGTTGACGGATTTAATTAATCTGACATGGACAGTGTCAATGTATCTGCATCATTCAGTTATTGTCAAATTCAATCGGATTCTAAATGGCTGCTGCAACGCTTGGTGCATCTTCTGCATATCCTTTTATAAACAATATTTTACAACAATTTAAAAAGGTAAAGAGATATTTACTGATAAAATGATATTCTCTGATATAAATGATGTACCAAAAGTGGCAGCAAACATTCAAAACATAATGAAATGAATCATTGAATCTTGAACTCAAGCATTGTAACCATACCTTGTCAATCTCCCCTCCTGTAAATGGTGGTTTCGTCCCAGTCACGAATAAATCACACGGCTGGTATTGTGTGCATTGTGTACAAAAGGAGTTATGATGGCAAATACCCATGAGAAAAAGTCAACCAAACTGTTAATGGTTGAAACCTAAGTGAAAAACATGTTACAAATGTCTGGTATGTGATGAACCGTACAAAGTAAAAATAGTCGTGTTCTACAAATGCTATCCATTGCATTGCCTATAGATTTACACAGCAAAAATGTTACATTCGTGAGTAATTGCAGGAACTGCACATTTGGTGAATATTATTAGTTTTGCACAGTAATTCAAATTGCTCTAAAGAGCAAGAACTGTATTCTGTACAATTCAAAGAGGCTATCAAAGTATCATGAAGGGCCTTGACCAAACTCGTTCTTGAACTTCAAACTGCATTTCTACAGAAAGCTGGTATTCATATTCGCCCATCAGTTCTACTTCCAAGTTCTCCTCGGCCTGAAGCATGGGAAAACAAAAGAAATAAATAACTCAACTCTCTTCACTAACTTGTTAGCTAATAAATTCAATCATTTAGTAATTAATTAAACAGTTCTTGTTACAAAATGATACGTATCCCTTTACAATACCTATAACAAGAGCACAAGATATTTAAAACTGACGGATTAATAAGCAGATATAGGACCATCAAAAAAACATTATGTGAAATGTGTGTGTATGTAACCACAGATCAAATTGCAAAAACTGTGTTTGCTTGAAATCGAATTGGTTAGATGCCAGTTCACTCAGTGAATAGATCTGGCTGGCCCAGGTCCTATAACGAATACCCCTTTCTACTTTCCAAATTTTCAGGCTCCCAATTTGTTAGTTAAAAGAGTTTCATTACTCTCATAATTATCAAATGTTCTTTGTAGAGTGAAGGTGGAGGAAATACTTCCGGCTTTTCTGCAGTGAACGCCAGTAGCAAGCAAGTGCTCCAAAACCACAGCTAGCAACAGCAATTGCCAATGCAGCTCCTATAGGCACAACTACTGCATTTGTTGATGCTATTAATTCTTCAACAGCTACCTCAATCCCTTCATTTTCGCCAATGTTCTTGTCCTTGTATAGAGAAGCCAGCGTGTTCCCGTAATAACTACTCAAAAACTCGTAAACCTCATCCCTGTTCCATGCAATTTGGTTGTTCTGTGTGTCATGGACTGAGTAACAGGATGAACAAAGCTGCTTTGGAGGCCATATCAACTTAGGGAATTTGGGGTCCCCCGTACCCAAAGCGGCTTCTTCTTTCATCAGCCTCTCATTGACCTCGTTATGGGCACTCCACAACCAGAGTGCGAATTCTCTGGCTTTGTTGAAAGGACTTTTGACACTGAAAATTAAGGTCATTAGCAATTAGAAGGGGGGGAGGAAAAAAATGGAACCTCAATGATACAAACAAGTATAATTCTTTACTCCTTTACCTTGAACACATCTTGTAAAAATGTTGCCGACATTCCTCACAGATGAAGTAGTTGTGAACAAATTCACATGTAGTGTTAAATGCAAACTCACTCTCTCCATCATCAATTCTCACTGAAAGTGAATGCAGAAGAACCCATAAACCACAGCTGAAAAAGGAGAGAGAGTGAGCACAGGTTAATACTGTAAATATGATACTAAAAAACTTTGTAGTCTAAAGCATGCAAAATCTAAGGTTATTGAGGGCGTCCCATCCTTGTCATTATGCCTATAGTAGCACGTACTGACACAGTGGCCGCACTGATATATCAGTACAAGCACAACATCTGAAGTATCTATAGCACAATCACATTCTTGTCCTTGGCTGGAGTCATTAACAACTAACACAATATTATGCAAACAGCAACTCTGCCCTAATATGCAATTACCCATCCAATAACAAAGCCAAAGAATCATCGTTGAAGGCAGATTGAATAAATACACACAACCGGACAACAAAAAAAATCACATGCCAAGAAACCCGCACGTAACAAAATTTTGTGAATGTTATGAGGAAAATGAATGCGCCAATTGACTATTTATGGAACCAAACAGTTAAGAGCATTAAAGGCAAAGCATTACCTAAACCCCCTGGTTTCATTCTTACTGCCGCGGCAGAACATCTACAAGAGAAGGATTAAACATAAAATATCAGAAATATTCTTTTCTTTTATCACCAACAGCTAAATCTCATTCCATGATAGAATTAATATTCAAATTTCATGTAAGAAGGCAGTACTAACAAGGTTGACTGATAAAAGAAGGTAACTCATACACAACTCTCATGCCAATGGTTCCATAGTTTAATAAACCATTTTTATCCCAACACTAGGGACCATTTCCATGACAACTCTACCCCTTTCCATATCAAGCAGTCTCTAATCTTAGCACTGAAATTTCAAAGGAAAGACAGAATCCCTTCGTTTTGCCATACATATGTCCCATTCCAGCTTTCCTGCCTTTTCTTCTCTGCGCTCAAATTGATACACAGGGACATTGTATTCACTTTAGAACATTGACTCCTGTATTTGCAGATTCTTTCTTAAAATTAATCGATTCCATTTCTATTTCATACCACTCTTAAAGCTAAACAGGCAAAATATAGCGAAGTTCAACCTACTTGAGTCATGGTCCCAGGAAAGGCCCTATTCCACCTCATACAACAACAGATGTGACTAAAAATGAGTTGGTCTCTCCGTTTCTTATCATATGTTGAAGTTAAGGAACAACATACTACTCGAATAATACAGGCAATTTCTATCACACTAAATCTTCTTAGGTGTAACTTTTGAGGACAAACCATGAAAGGCACAAATTAGTATAAGCAAGATTCCATCGTAACAATTGGTGGTAGTATTAATATAGTGTTTTCAAAGATAAACCCTTAGTCAACAACTACTGCGAAGTCCCCAATAAAGTATTGAGATCCTTCTTGTAAACATTTGGACTCAACACAGTCTAGGAAGAAGTACATTACAAAAAGATATAAAGGATCAGAATTTCATCAGGTTCAGTTTTATTTGCATCCAATCTTTTAAGCACTCATAGGAGACAAAAATAGGCCACAGAATATATGCATGCAATGGCCATGCAAAAAAGAATACAAATTCCAGCTAGAACATTATAGCATGGAAGGGTTCAAAATATTGGATCAAAGTGCAGAGATTCTACCCAATACCCACGAGGCACCCCCTTTCCACAAATGTGAGAGCTCCTTGATGTAACCGTATCATCTTCCTCCTTATCAGCTGGCCACAAGTCTGCAGGGTACAGCTCATCAAAATTCACAAGTAATTCTGCAGTACCCCTCCGACATCTGAAACAAATGATCCACAACGGAAGGAATTGTTAAACAAAACACAGGACAGACAGAAGAAAGGTGAAGTTTAGGTTCATCTTACCTTTTTGAAGGATGATGAGCCACCAGAAGCTGAAGAAACTTTAAAAGTGAAGCACGAGTCTCTTTCTTTATCATCTGCATAGGTGTAAGTATGTGTGTTTGGTCATCCCCTAGACTGAGCACGACCACAAGAGAGATAGGAGAGAGAGCGAGAGAGAGCATGACCAGTTACCTTATGCTCTAAGATGATGTCAAAGGCTGTAGAAGTTGCCTCTTCAACATCATAAATAGCCCGTGCGATCTTTCAAAGTCACGTATGCCATGTGTCAGGAGACAAGATTATGAGAAGAAACTTTGACTTGAAATTAAAACAAAAGGAATTTATGGCCAAGCTGACAAAAGCACCTGTCCAGGGTCTGACACATTGGAGGAAAGATGCTGCTCATTTTCAAACTTCCGATCATCAAGGTTAAATGAGCTGTAACATTTAAAACATTAGAAGGTAATAACTTCAAGATACATAAGCAAAATAAAAGACTACAACTTTTAAGCTCCTTCAAGAAAAAGTGACATGCTATGAATTATGAAAGGCTTCCTCATATTTCTACACACTTGCACCTATTTATTTGATTTTTTTATTCAGCTTTATCTCCAGCACATAAATTTCTAACAGCAGTAAAATAATCCTTTGAATGTGCATGAAATTACAACAATAAGAAGCCTGATCCATTAGGTGAGATTAGCTCCATGGATCACACAACACCAATGTAAAATAATCCTATGAATATTCTTGTTGTCCTTTTAGTGCCCAGCATTCACTACTATATAGTATTGCTGATCTAGTAGCAGTACAATAAAAATTTACTTTAACCTTGTTAGGTACTTCCAATCATAAATAGCTCTTGATGCCTTTCCTCATTACCTAGCTAGTATTCTATGCACAACATCCCTATCCATTTCAGTGCCCTTCTATATTATCGATCTTAGATACTTGAACTTTGTCACTCGCAGTATGATCTAATCTCCAATTTTCACAATTGAATCATTTCTAACTTGCTTCTTACTGAACATATAAGGTATATATTCTATCTTGCTCCTATGCAGGAAAAAACCCTTTGATTCCAAGATCCATCTCCATAATTCTAATTTAAAATTAGTCTCTTCTCTTTACTCCGCAACAAGGACTATATCATGTGCATGAAATTACACGCTCAACAAATTTGTTAATTATGCATATTTCTTGCTGGTTTTTCCAGACAGAGACAATTGCTATTACATGTCAACGATCAACTGCAATCTGCATTTGGCTCGTTATAGATATAAGAAAGACAAGCGCAATAATTCCAACAATAGTATGCATGGCAATCCAACAATCTGAAGCCAATATCAGAATAACTTGATTGGATATCAAACATCTAAGTGGTCTATTTATCATCTTTGATAGATATAAACAAAGTCAGTATTTTGTCCTTTTAGTCAGCTAGGAAAATGGTCAGTTAGAAAGTGAGAAGGCCCAAGTTGTTTAACAATCACACTTTCGCTTTGTTCCCTTGAACTCTAGAAGTCTGACCAAATAATGGTTAATTACTAATACTAAAAACAAAATCTCAATAAACTGAAAGCTGAACCAAAGGATGATAAACTCCACTTGACAAGCTGAATGACTTAAATAAGAGAATGGAGAGGTGCAAAAAGGAATAGAGGGGCCCGAGGGGGAAAGTCCTGCAGTAAACAAGACATAATAAAAAGATTCTTAAGAATATTCTTCTAGGTATTTTCCTAGTCTTCTGCCATGGTCTAGAACGTCTGAACCTGTTGGATCAATACAGAACTGATGCTGTTACCCATATGATTTTCTTGTAAAATGCTAAATTAACCTAGCAGTAGTAGTCATACTTCTTTTCTCCAGTTTTTTTTACTTCAAGAAAAATTAAACATGGGTTTTTTCCCCCGGGGGGGGAGAGTGAAGAATACAGCAAGCATCATTCTCATGCAATTATGATTGCACCTATTTCTAAAAATTTACAGGAAGATTAGCAAGTTCAATTTCAGTACTTTTGCTCTTCCTTTTCTCTGTTCATGAATAGTTTAGCTCATTTCTCAAACTCCATAAATGCACAGGAAGCTCAAAATTTGACAAGTTTTACAGCAGAGAATATTGACAGTTCACGTAAGATATTGTAACTGCATTAACAGTAAATGAATGCATTCTTCATACCTGCCCATTCGCTTGTTGATCCAACGTAGCAACCGATCAGCTGTGCGGCCATCATCGATTGTATGTACATCACTTTTATCCTGATTAGGTTCCCAACTACCACCAACGAATTTAGAAGGAGGGCCCCAAAAGAGCATAGGATAATGACCAACAGAAAACTTATCACAGAGATTCGTATTTATCTGTGCTGCCAAACAAGAGGAGAGACCAATCACCAAGGCGTGTTTTACTAATGAATAAAGTTTCAAGTGAAGCTAACCCATTTCAAAGTTGACAAGTGAAGCAGCAGCAACATATCAATTATCGAGTTTGCATTATGGAAGTTGTTACAAATAAGAATTAATCCACCAGGAGTAAGAAATTTAGATAATGACCCACATAAGGGAGCAGTTAGAATCGAACTCTTGACTATCTAATTGTAGGGGTTCTGAGAATATGTCAAAATATTAAGTTATAAAACAATGCCAAAAATAGTTTTATTATAACCTCTGCCAAAGTGAGGGAAGACCGGGGGGGAAAAAAAAGTCTCAGAGGAAGAGGAGAAAACCAGTTTTCTGCAACAAGAAACTAAATTAAGAGACAGTAATGTACACCAACGAGTGACTAGGTGTTTAACAGAGTGGGTCCAAGAATACACTACAGAATAATTCTATGTAGGGACAGACTCTCAGGAATCAGGATGTTGAGTTCTAATTGCTTGAAGTGATTTTTTTAGTTGAAATCATAGGTTAATTACTCTGTTATTTTCAATAGCTATAATGGATCAATTCATTACAAAAAAAGTTAAGGCCCATAACTAGAATTTTATTTTAGGTGAATTTCCCCAGAGCTAGTTTTATTATTACCTCTAAACAGCTCTTAACAAGTGCAGAAAAAGCACAATTTCACTATTCTTTGCATTGAAAATTTTAATTGGGATAGGGAGCAGTTAGAATCGAACTCTTGACTATCTAATTGTAGGGGTTCTGAGAATATGTCAAAATATTAAGTTATAAAACAATGCCAAAAATAGTTTTATTATAACCTCTGCCAAAGTGAGGGAAGACCGGGGGGGAAAAAAAAGTCTCAGAGGAAGAGGAGAAAACCAGTTTTCTGCAACAAGAAACTAAATTAAGAGACAGTAATGTACACCAACGAGTGACTAGGTTGTTTAACAGAGTGGGTCCAAGAATACACTACAGAATAATTCTATGTAGGGACAGACTCTCAGGAATCAGGATGTTGAGTTCTAATTGCTTGAAGTGATTTTTTTAGTTGAAATCATAGGTTAATTTGCCTAGGTGGAAACGTGTTGCATGTTTGGGATAACATTAGAAGCCTTAGAAGTCAGTTAGGACCAATAAGAAGCTAGTTGGATGAAAAAATTATGTTTGGCATGGCTTTGGGGGCAACTGACATTTTGCTCAAAGGACACTTTAAAGTTGAAACAACTTTTTTGGTTTTGGCTTCTGGCTTTTCTTCATATTTGAACCTTTTGAAACAAGCAACCTAAACATAAAACTGACAAACAAAAAAACAGGATAACTGATCCAACTAGAAGTGAGATATCCCAGGATACGAAGAACTAAAAGTGATGGTCCCAAATGTCTAATTGGTGAAACTCATAACGAAAGCAAGCAAGCAACTTGTAAATTCCATATAAACAATATAACATACTTGAAACAAAGTAATAGAAGATGCATTTACCGTCAAGGCACAATCTACCCTAGTCATTAATATGATTCCCGGATGCACTGCATCAGGTCCATTAAAAAGCCTCGCAACCTTTTCATATTGGTGCTGTAACATAAATTAAAAATGAGAATTAATGATAATCCCAAATTACTAATTCACTAACCCTCAAATTTTAAACTGTATTTTGGTAAATAATACCTTATAATTCCTGCAAGCAGGGCACCTGACAGAAAAGAAGGGGCATAAGGAAAATTAGAATCTATTGTACTTATATTTCATGATTATTAATCTATGTGCATAAAAGAACTTGCAGCAAAATTCCTTATGAAGGAACGCAAAAATTAAGTTGAGCTCGATAGCAGAAGCACTTTTATATTTCAATTGAAAAAAATCCTACACCACCATCTTAACTGCATCAGGAGATGCTCGGACCCAAAGTCCAAAAATATGTTCACCAAAATATACACAGAGAAGTGATATTGTCAAGAAAAACCAAAAGAATGAAGTGAAACAGTGGGAAACTACTAGATAGGTTTGACTGAATTGAGTACCTCCGAGTCCATTCATGAAAATGATATCATCCATTAATATAAAAACTCTTCATACAATCCAGTTTGATAACTAAAACAACCAAAAAATTTGTTAACTAAAATAATGAGCCATTCTGTTTGTAGAAAGCTCATTAATTCCGTGCTAATGAATTATTTATACATGATACAGATTTAAATTAACAGCACTGAGGATTATTTTCATGCCCATAGTTTTTCTTAAATAGAATTGCTAATCTACTTGCCCATAGTTTTTCAATAGAACTGCCTATATGTTAATTTCTATCAAAAAAGAGTGAAGAATTTACATCACAACCAGAATTCTATTATCTCTTCCACTTACATTCTAGCCACTTAGCATTTTATGAACTGAGATCTTACCTTGGAATATCATAGCGATAAATAACCAGCTAGATGACTAAATTGTAATATGAGTATGATAGGATCCAGCGACCCTCATTGCTCTATTCAAGGAAGAGGCTCAATGATTAATTATCTAGGGCATTTTAATTATATTTTTATGTATATCTTATATCAGACACGTGTCCTTATGTTGGTTGTTTTATGTTGTCCTTAGTCAGCTGTTGCATGGTTAGTTATCGTCAGTTATGTCTTAGGAAAGTAAGTGGTTAATTAATATCAGAATTGAAGCAGTTAGAAGTATGATGTATTATTCAGAAAATACTTGGTCTTGCCTAGAGTTCAGATTCTGGTTCTAGCGTCTCCCTTCTCTCCCCTTTTTCTTTCCCTCTTTCCCTCTTTTCTCTCTTCTTCCCCTCTCCCTCCCGCTAGTCGACCAGAGTATACTAACCACATAGTTCTTGCACCTATAGGAATATAGGACATGATATCATATATGTAAAGAGCACATACATAATTATTTAGACATAATTAGGATAGCAAGAAGCTTGGAACAACTATTGCTTAAAATCCACAGAAAGATTTCATTCAAAATTGAAAACTAAAATATTTATTGATAATTTTGTTATGAGGATTTATTGATAAGTTAAATGGTCTGACAAAGTACAAATAATACAAAACAATTACTCAACAAGAAAGCCAACTGGGGAGAACAAAATATAAGTGAAGTAGGGAAAGGAAACTAGGGCTGAATCAGAAGAGAGATTAACGAGAAAGAATAAAAGAGGTTAAAGTTTTACTGCGCGTTCAATATAGTCAAAGCTATGCAAAAGGGAAAATTTAAAAACATTAAAAAAATAAAAAAAGCTCCGCAAAAGTGGTGAAAATAATTTCACATGCAAATGTATAACACACCTAGAATGTAGGTGATGTATTCCAACAGCAGCTCAAAAGCATGTCAAAGTATAAAATACATTTAATTGAGTATTTTAGGGATGTATCAGATAACCAGCCTTAGTCACAGAGGTTGTACTTGGCAATGATGCTATCACAAGCAACAACTGCAAATTATACTACAAATCTGGCCTCACATAACAAAAAATGTATGGGTGGACAATATGAAGTGGATAGTTTCAAGTCAAGGCTAGGTCTTCCACTAGATTGTCCCCCCATTTTCACCTTTACTACCCACATTCTCAATTTTCCGGCATCTTCAATGAATTTTTAACATTAACATACCATTTAAACTATAGGCAATTTCTCATTGTTACAGCAAACTCAACAAACAACTCGATCAAATTTTCGAAAAGCATTGTAATGCCATATCTACCTTACCCTAAATTCTAAACGCTTTCAGATTCCAAATAATTGTCATATGAATTCATTTCTCTCACTATTTTATAGACAGATCTACACTTTTCTGGCCAAAGGCCCATACACCCCTTGATTTTGGTACACTCCTTTAACAAGAAAGGGTTCAGGACCAAATAGAGATTTCAATAAACTTAGCAATACAAGGACATAAATATACAGATTGCAAAGGATTGCTCACTCACCAATGGGCAAAGAATTCGACAACAGCAAAGGTAGCAGGAGTATCCTTCAGAACAGCATCAAAATTTGTTGCATTCAAGTCAACGGCATAATCTCGGAGATCTCCATTATTATCATTGTTTTTGACCGCTCTAAGGATCGAACGACGTGACCCCAGTGAAGAATCTGAAGTCACGATGGAGCTAACAGAAAGTAGGCTCAGAACAACAAGACCCGAATACACGCCAGACATGGAAATGGGCAGATAACAAAGCCAGAAGAAGAAAGAAGAGAGACAAAGCTATAACTTCAGAAGCATCTGCCCAATAGTTTCGTGGTTTATTGGCAAATATGCAAGAAAGGTGATGCTTTTGAAGTGAGGGTGGAGGGGGAGGGGTAAAGAAGGACCTGCCAACAGTTCCTTTCTGTTGGCTTCCTTACCAAACAGGTTTTGAAGCTCTTGGAACTCTATGGGTTGGAGGGGTTTGGAGTTGGAAACTGGTAAGCGATTCCTAATTACGTTTCCGTTTTGGAGAATGGAGATGGCCTGACCAGGGGATCACCAAACTACTTGATAGAAACCCTTTTCTTACGTTCTAATTTCCATTTTCTTGCCTGAATTACTCCTGTCTCCGACTCTTCCTTTCCTTGTCTTCTTATCGTGCTTCTTTAATTATGGCAAGCATTTGGCCAGAAACCTCACATATGAAAAATAAAATAAAAGATTAAATAATTTTTTGAAATAGCATAATTTTTCTGCCGAGGAACTTCTTTGACCTTAAATTTTAACGTGAAATGATCATATTGCCCATGATTTTTTTTTATTTTAAAAAAACCTCTCTGCAGCAGTACTGGCAACTAGAGCTCCAACAACGGATAATTATTAGCAAGGAAGTGGTCAACAAAAATAACTATTTTACTTTAAAAAAACAATAACTTTAATTATATAAAATGACAATAAAAATTTTAGTATGAGAGAATTACAATCAAGTCCCATATGAGAGAAATAACTTCTAAAAGAGTCCAATAACAACCTGAACAGTCTGTAATAACAAGTTCTAGAATAGAGAATAACAACTTCTGAGACTTGTTTTGTAATTTTTTTCTGTGAGACCTTATTGTAATTCTTCCTTTCAGTAGTGGCAACTAGTTTTTTAAAGTAAATTTGAGTTTTAAGTATTACTATTTTAAAAAGTAACAACTTTAATGACATAAATAATAAAAAAATAACAAAAAAAGAAGTTAAAAATTACTGAATGGGTGCTTGGATGAAACCAAACCACATTTTGGAGAATAATTTCTGGAGAATAGATTTTGTGAAAAAGTGGTTCCGATAAAATGAGAGTGTTTGGATAACTGTTATCAGAAACACTTTTTATATATACAAATTACTAAAAAAGACATAAGTAAATATGATAATTACATAAAAAAATAAATTTTATAATATATTTAAATTTGAAGAAATAAAATTGTTAATAATATATTTTTACCAACATAATTAATAATATATGAGATAATGTAATTGATAAATAATTAATATGTGTATATATATTTATAAAATATAAGACTAAATATGCTTATAAAAAAATAATTAAGGGGTGTTAAAGTCATATTACCGTTTGAATTTATTCTGATACGCACAATTATATCCTTCAATTTGAGCGAGAAGTAGAATGAATTCACTTCTTTTGAAGTCATGGTTTTGATTCAAAACCATAGTTTGCCAATTTCTTCTCTTGTTTGGCAAGTTTGGAACCCAAAGATTTGGGTTTCAAACCATGGTTTTGAAAGTTAGCCAAACAGACCCTAAATACCAAAGAAGGCATGTCAACAAAAAATTATTGTTATTTACAAATTTCAAGTTATCAACACCAATTAAAATGTTGTTACCAAAATTTGATTTTAAATTTAGTAATTTTTAGCTTTTTTTGTCATTTTTCTTAAAATAATAAATGAAAAATCAGCTTCTTACTAAAGTGGTGAGACAACCATTACGCAAGAAAATGATAAACGTGGTAACTTTAGCATGAGTCAAAGGATTTGTCTTTTTCATTGTAACTCCACATACTATTCCTTTCATATAATCAGTTATTGTGTTGAGATTTTAGAAAAGCTTGGATCAAATTGGTTTTTTTTTTTTGGTCCAAATTGCATTAGGAAATCAAAATTATTGAAGAATCCCTTGAGAAAAGCTCCTTTAGAAAAGTTCAATTACTTATCAGTTCAGTAAGAGAAGTTCAAGATTTTATAATGTTTGCTTGGATCATCACCTTCAGTCACACGTCTACAAAAATCCACAAGTATTAGGAGTCACTAATATAAGACTCAGTTGATAAATTTAAAAAATAATAAAAAACCAAATAAATTATTTTAAAGTATTTATATTTATTGTTTTTTAAAATTAATTTGTCTCATTTATAAATTGATATATTATCTAACGATATACATAAGTATCATAAAAAGATCACATAATATATGCTATAATTAAATAATTTATTTAACTTTCTTAATATCTCCTATTTAATTAACTGAAATTATATTAAGGATTGGAGGCAATGTTTCGTTATTGAAATACTCTTCATATACAACCATCCTGGGGGACTTATTCAAGGTTTAATCGTAGCTTTTGGATTGGACTCAAAATGACAATAATGACATTCTAGTGAAGCAAATTATATGAAGTTTGATGGGATATGAGATTAGGTTTAAGAATCTTCATATAAGTGATTTGTTAAGTGAAATCACTTAATCAACCATCCATAAAAATTCAAAATTGTAAGAAATCGCATTATTCCTAAACTATCAATGTCACTTGTATCAATTTTCAATCAAATCAAATAAGACTACACCCGGAAAAAAAAACTAATTATAGGGAGAATTAGCAAGGAAATTTTATTACATCACTAATTCTACTGCAAAAGGATTAATGATGAAATTTTTTTGTCACTAATTTTCATCACAAAATATTTTGTATTGGTTATATAATTAATTATATAGTTTTTCAATCTTAATAATAAAATCATCCTTTTGTAATGTTTCGTCACAAAACATTTTGCATTGGTTCGATATTACTTGTAATTTTCCGCAAAGCGATTGGTTAGGCTTGCATTGGTACGGTGCTACGCGCGTAACCTTCCTTATCACGGGAACCATGGATGTGCGTGGGACATTAATCATTTTTATTCTTTAAAATTTGATTTGATTTTGATCCTAAAATTTGAAATCAGTGATCTTTGTCCCTAAAAATTTTAGAGATAAAAACATTGTTTCAAGAAAAAAAAAAGCTTTATACAAAATAAAATGAAGTAAAATTTTGCATTACATGTTCAGACAAAAAATAGAAGATACCTCCCAGAATCAAATTAACCTGTCGTAATATTAAAAAAAATAATTAATAAAATTTATTGAAAGGGTAGGAACGTATCAATTATGCCCATGATGAAATTTTTTTTTTTAATATTGGAATGTTTGATATATTTTTTTCCTGGGATCACTTCTAAAAGCCTCAACCAAACGTGCCCTCATTGTTTGAAAATGAATAAAATCGTTGTTTGGGAAGCCCTGGCCTCGAGTGGCTATTGACCTTTACGTAGGAATGAGCAACAAACTTATTACCTGCTAGCCCGCTCATGGCTCATGAAATTTTTATCCATTTAAGTCTGCCCAATTAGTCCAAATAAGATATTATAAACAGGGGGTTTAAATGAGTGGGGTAGCCCATTAAACGGGTTGAGTTATGGGCAAAATATTGGGCTGTCCATATCTGTCCGTTTAAGTTTTAATTTTTTAAAATATTTTATTTTTCATTTAATTAATGATATTGTTTCTTATTCATCTTTTATCAAACCTTCATGCTTGTCTAAGCTTTTATTTTATCTTCTAGGTGAAAGTTAGAACTTTCAAAGTTTATAAGACTTTATGATTGGTGACTACTTTTATGATTTTACCAGACTTTGATTGTTTGAGAATCTAAGTGAGGTTGTGTGATTGAATATGGTTGATGTTATTTCATATTTGATTTGCTATTTGGTATACAAAACTTATTGACAACTTCATAAGGTTACATATACAAAATAGCTATATTGAAAAAAAAATTAAAACAAATAGGTTACCCCGTAACCCAGTCAGCCCAACGGGCTGCCCCGTAGCCCATTTAATACGGGCTAAATGTGCTACTATCGGGTTATGGGTTAGCCTATACCCATTTATTCATAAATAGGCGGGCTATTAGCTAACCTTCAGATTAGCACACTCTGCGCATTGCTCAGCCCTACCTTTATGACTCTTTCCGATCACCACCATGTTACGTGAATATTAAGGAATCTCTTTCTTTCTCATAAAGCAAAGGCATAACTCTTCATCTTAACAAAATTAATATTATCAAGTAAACAATATTATCAACAATAATGGGAATAATTAATATAAGAGCTTGTTTGATTTTATTTTACTCCGAAATATAATATTTTAATATACTTTGTTTCTCATATTTATCTATTTTTTTCAAAGTAATTTTTATAATAATGGTAGTTCGCCAATACACCTAATTAAAAAAGATATTTTAAAAAAGAATACACTCATTTATTAAAAATAACTAATTTAACTAGTTTTTTTAATTTATTTAAATTAATTAATTAACTCTTATATTAAGGACCGAAGGTAGTACATATTTTTTTTGGCCAACAATTAATATAAATATATGTTTACGCATAAAAATGATATTTTTGAAAATATATTAGGGGCAATTGCCTAAATTGAGACCCGCAGTTTTCATATTTAGCGGCTGACAAGTTATTTAAGAAAATAATTTAGAATTTTTTAAAAAATTATATTTATCATTAGATGACTCATGAATGGTGAATCTCCATACAAATTATATATCGTAACATGTTTTAAAATTCGGCCTGGACATCAAGTCGAAAAAAATCTAACGGGTCAAATTTTTTATGAACTGGTAATGCAATAACCAAAGAAAAAATTATACATATGTACAATACATATATAATAAATAAAATGTAAAATAGATTAAAAAATAAACACAAATACACAATAACAAAAAATTAGAATACAATTTAAAGGATACATAAAAATAATAACTGTAAATAAACATTTAATAAAATAATAATGAAACTTCTAGAAAAAAAAATTAAAAGCAAAACTTAAGAAGGCCAAGCATTTTGCACCTTATTGACCATTTTTTTAGCCATTTCAAAAAAAAGGGAATGAAAATTAAAGCTATTTATATGATATTTATATAATACTACCGTCAATCTTTAAAATAAGAGTTATTTGATACTCATTAATATATTAAAATTAGTCAACTAGCACTTATACTATGTTTGATCCTTAATATAAATGCTAGTTGATTAAGAAAATTAGTTAAGTTAGTCATTTGCAATAAATATGTGTTGTCTTTTTTAAAATATCCTTATATATAATGTATTAGCTAAGACCACCATTTGATGAAATCTTTAATATGTATAACTACTATAATGACTATTTTGGAGGAAAAGCAAATAAATATGAGAGACAAAGTGGATTGAAATTTTATATTTAAGATCAAATTAAATCTCAAACTGTATTAATTATTGAAGGTAATATTATATATTATATAATAACAAACTTAATTTATTTTCTTAATCTATTTAAATTAATCAGTTCTTATATTTAAAATTGAAGGTAGGATATAAAATTCTCTTACCGATCAAAGACAGAATGGGTATAGGAAGTCTGCTGCCAAGCTTTTTCTTGTATCAGTTCGTTTGGTTTTTTTTTGGTAACAAAGTTCGTTTGGTTTATTTTTTGCTTTAACGCGGGAAACAAATGTTGTGCACTAAGTTTTATTGTAGCCCAAAGGCCCAAAAAAAGCCCAATCTCCAGGAGTTTCCTAAATCCTATCTGAACCGTCCGGCCTACTATCCAGGGTCCTGTTCAACAACCGATTCTAAAAAGACGGTTTAACACGATCCGACCACACAAAAAGTCAAAACGTGAAAAACTCAAAAACAAACTGTTAGGCATAGCGGGCAACGGCCAGGCTGACCGTCCAGTCCGGTCTGGCTTCTTTTTTTGTTTTTGGGTGTAGGTCGGCTTTTTATATCCTTGGTATGAATGTTAAAATCATCTACTGGGATTTTTTTCATTTTAAACTTTTTGGTGCGAACAAAAGTTATTGTAGCCCAAGGCAAAGAAAAAAAAGCCCAATCGCTAGAAGTTTCCTAAGTCCTGCCTGAACCGTCCCAATATCCAGGGTCCCGTTCAACAACCGGTTCTAAACGGTAGTTTAACATGATCCGACATTCCGACTACTCAAACAGTCAAAACGTGAAAAACAAACCGTTAGGGGTAGCGGTCACCGGCCAGACTGACTGTCCAGTCCGGTTCAGCTATTTTTGGTGTAGGTCCGCCCTTTATATCATTGGTATGACTGTTAAAATCATATAGTGGGATGTTTTCATTTTAAAATTTTGGATTGGATTTGTCGGTAGGCCTGAAGCCCCGAGCTTGGCCCATAAACAGGGGAAGTACATGGGCTAATGGGCCGGGCATTCCAGTCTTCTTACCGGCCAGAGTCATTTCCCTTCAACAAATCAGCGATATCCGACATATGATTCACTCTCATCCACAATTACGAATTTCGAACAAAATTAGAATATTCGTATTTCCTAGGCTTGAGCTCCTTCTGATTCCCAAATTCTTGAACCCTAATCGTGCAAATCGGTGAGTGTTCGCTTCGGAGGTTCTCATACGAAGCAAGATTGCGTGTTCCTTTTGAGTTTTTGTGTTCGCTTCGGAGGTTCTCATACGAAGCAAGATTGCGTGTTCCTTTTGAGTTTTTATTTCACAAGGTACCTCAATTATCATTCTTCTCCCGATTGCTGCTTAGAATTCTTTCATTTTTATGCGTTTGACTTCCAAATTTCCTGATGAATATGGGAAGTTTTTATTTCGTGATTCTTCCGCGGTTCATGACTTTAAATGCCTGTATTATGTGTTGCTTTTCTGTATTTCTGATGTTTGGATTGATATCAAGTTTGGAAACGAACTTATTATTATTGTTATCTTTTGGTTCTTTGGTTATACCATAGGAAGACGGAAAGACTGGAGTTCTTTCTGCAGTTTACATTAGTCACATTGGAATCATCGTGTTGCATTCAAATACTTAGCCATGAAATTCCTAGAGTTTGCTTCTCTGGATCGGTAACTATGAAATCAATTTATTTGTGATGGATTATGGATATTTATTTATTATGAACGAATTTAGTATCCAATAGTGTCTTTTTAAAATTTGTAGGCTGAACGACTTCTTAAGTCATTTGGATATGGGAGAACGTACCATCAAAGGATGTCTTGAAGCTTATACTTGTGAGGAGAAATTCATGACTCCAGTCAGAAGATTTTGTTTTGTATATTCACTTTGTTTGGATTGGTTTGAAAAACTTTGTTTGGCGTTGGGTTCTTAGGCAAGCACGCTGGAGCTGACAAAAAACTCTCTCACAGATTGTCCCTCAGCCTGGACAGCGAGGTAAATAGGTTGATGATGACTTATTATGCCTAAAATATATGAATTTTGGGAACGTTAGTTTTTAATGTCTCAGTTTCTGTTTCTTGCGCTAATGACTCCCCCTTCTGCCATCAGTAATTTAATTTTAATTATTCTTTATTTTAGATGGTGAGTTTTAAGGTGCGGGATTATTATGCTTGGATGTCATAGCATAGTTTATCCTATTACGCTTCTTGGTGTTCACCGAATATTTTTTCTAATGCTGTAGTTTCTTTATTTAATTATTTAAATTTCAGATTGCTGATTATCTTGGGAAATCATCAGACACCGATTCTTCTTCATCACCTGATTGCATATCTAGCAGATCCAGGTGCCCAATTGGTTGTCGATAGATTTTGTAAAGGGAGACTTAATACCAGCCGTTTGTGTAACATGTTTTTCTCGTGTGTTTATTCCAGCCGAAGGACATTGGTGTACTTGGTTCTTACCCTCTATCACATGTATCCGGACTATGAATTCAGGTATCTTAGTATCTTATGCTGTATCAGAGATGCTTTCACGTGTTGAGTGAAAAGGAGGATTATGGGTAATGCTACTGTCAGCTTATATGGCGACATGGCAACCCGCTATATAATCCTCTTTTTGATTTTATTGGGAGTGTTGTCAAAAGGTTTGACAGACAGTTCATAAAACTGTTGCTCTGGCAGCTGAGAGTTCGAGTCTCTCCATTTCCCAAAGTCTTGTTCTGGTCATTTATTTGGCCAGTTACTAATGCCTCAAGTCTTATCTAATGCCTCGAGTCTTATATGATGTTTATGGTGGTGTATTCCATTGTGCTTTCTATAATAGTATATTCCTACTCCTTTGATGGTTTATAGTGCAGTTAAAGCTCATCAATACTTCGCAGAGGAATCGTGGGACAGTTTTAAACAGATTTTTGATACCTACATGCTTGAAGCCTCAAAGGTGCTACTACCAAATCGCCTCTTTTGAATTTTACTTCTATAATGGTTGCATCGTGAGAAAGGGATCGTATTATGCCAAAAGATATGATTGGAAATTGGGAGGGGAAGTGAAGGAATTAAAGAAAAAGGGGGCCTGATTTAAATGAGGGTTAAATTGTAATTCCGCTTTCCCTTTTTTCAGTTGCTTGGATGCTGTAAAATTAATTTGGAAAAAGTGATGGAAAATTAGATATCAAACAAGTGAAAATAAATCATTATGCTCTTGATGTTGTAATAAAATATTGGCTAAATGAATAATGTTATAGTTGTACTCATAAATAATTATCTTTCCTTGAGGGTGCCCATCGATTCATAATATATATTTTTTGAAATGAAAATAAAGATAGAAAGATGAATGATTTTGACGGAACAGAATTTTGAAAGCCATAATTATGTTTGGCATGTTGTGAATTATTAATTGCTAAAAAATTATCATGATACTCTTAATATCAACAACTATTAAAATTATTTTTATTTTGATCAGTTGATTTTTTTTTAAAAAACTTTTAATAAAAACATTTTGAATATTCTCTTTTACCTTTTTATTTATACAAATATTTTTAAATCCATTACGTAACGTTAGGATATTTCTTTATTATTTATTGCTTAACATGCAACATTCAAGGTTGTGCAGAAAATGCTATGCTTTCAATTTTTTTTTTTTTTTGGGGAAAAAAAAACTAATGCTTTTTATTTGGTATATGGTGACCATGGTTAATTTTCGTCGCAACGTGCTGTACTCATCTCTGTTTTTGCTTGACCTGTCTAATGCAGGAATGGCTTGAAACCAATGGGGGTGTCTCTCTGCTGGACACTCTATACAAGGCCCTTGATGAGGTGGGTTACCTTTAAAGCCAATGTTTGAGATAGTAAGTGGTATTTTACTGATGATTCCTTGTGAAATAGGTGGTGAAGTTATCAGACTGCGAAATATATAGTTATGACCCAGATTCTGAAGCGGATCCATTACTAGAGAGAGGAGCAATGTAAATGTTTTTCCGCTGCTGTCATCATCATATCCGTTTTAAACATGTTTAAATGGTCACTTGTTTTCACCTGTAAAGTTTTCTAATAAGGTGGTGTTTTGCTGGTTTCTTCAGATGGTCCTTTAATTTCTTCTTCTATAATAGAAAGCTAAAGAGGATTGTGACTTTCCGTTTTGGATGTTTTAGGTGGGTTGATTTGGAGATTATTTCATTTTCATGACATCAGTTCTTTTCTTCTGTTCTGTTCTGTTTTTTTTTTTTTTTTTTGGGTCATAACGATATTCATCCCTAGCTTTCATTGTTGCTTTGTCTTTGGCAGTAATTTGGTTGCTGATGGGTTCCTTATGGATGAGATACGGGACGAGGAAGATGGAGAAATATTCGCTGACATGGATATATAATGATATACAGTGGAGCTGTTTGTTACTTAGGTCATATGTATACAAGATCGTCAACTCTTGTGTAATATAGTATATAGATGTTTTGTCAGAGACCAGTTTGGTCTTATAGCATCCGTATCCTCCTGTATGCATGTAGGTTTAGCTTCTGTATCTTCTTCCTCTGTGCTGCTAGCAACTACTCTCGTAGTTTGTAATCATGCGGCGTAAAATTGTAGGTCAATAAGATGACGAGTCTTGGTATATATGTAGTGTAATTTTAGCTTCTGGAACATAAATGGCAAGGACTTGCTTGTTTGGCACAATTGGTGTTACATTTGGGAAGGGATTGTGATCAATCTTATTGACACAAGCTCGTCTGACATTTACATGTTTGTGATAAACCTCTTCTTCCTTTTACATTCAGGACTTCATTAAAATTTCTCTCAGATGGATGAAATATATATATGTATGTATATATATAAAATATAACCTTCAATCACACTACACTCGTATTAATGCCTTCCCAAAGGAAAAGACTTTATGCATCGATGTAAAGACATTTTATATTCATTAAAATTTCTCTCAGATGGATGAATGATTTTGCTTGGTGATTTGCAAGATCATGTTCATTCCTGGCAAATTTTCTTTGAAACCAAGGAGGAATGGGCCTACCTTGAGCAGATTTGCATTTCAACTTGTCTTATGGCTTGTTAGCACGAATTGTAGAGCATAGAAATTGGACATTAATCTTTTCCCCTTGTTATAGGCCTTTTAGGACAACTGTATGCCTACCATATGCGGCATGACAAATGAGCCTTGCAATTTATAACTGGAGTATATGATTTGGCAGAGTTTTGATAATGTTAATACGTATAAATTTGAGGGCTAATGGCTTCCCCTGCATGTTTGAAGTTCAGAATTCTTCTAGAATACTTTGTGAAATTTTTTAATTTCCTTTCTCTCGAGTTACATCAACTCGTGACAGAAAGTGTTCATACGTGTTTTACCTGCTTGCTTATTTTAATGGAGGGAAAGAGAAAAGCACATAAGAAATGAATATATTTGTTGTCTACTTTTACACAATCATCCAAACGCAACATGTGTAAGCTTACATTGATCTTTTGCACTTGTCTTCTTATATGATAACTATAGCATCTACCTACCAGTTGCCACTATCATTGTAAGTTGTGGATCAGGCAGACATAAGTGCCGAATTACCAACGACGTTTTCCATGAAGAAATTGCCACGTGGGATCTTTGAGAAGGAATTCGGCTTTGCCCAATATAGAACGTTTGCGTCGATGAACTAGATTTCCAAATTTAACTCTACACAGTATGTGCCTCTATTATTTAAGAAGATAAAATCAATTACCTCCAGGGAAAGAAAAAAAAGCCAACCCTGAACAATATCTTATGAAAAAAATCAGACTAATTCAAGAATTTGAATTTTATTAAAAGTATCAAAGGGAGTATTTTTTTTTTAAAGGAATAATAGCTTACTAATTTCATTAATTTCTGTAAATTAATTTTTTATCTTCTATATTTAGGATCGTAAGGGGTATATCTGATTGTAACAATATCAGCTCATTTTGAAAGTGGATTATATCTTTCAGTAACTAATTGATTTTACAGCAACAATTTTTTTTTTAATCATCATCATCATCATTAAATCTTAAACTGAAGATATCAAGATTTTAGCTTAAAAAAAATTAAACTGATAGAAATAAGAAATAGTTAAAGTTTTAGGGTACATCTCATGATTTGCATATTTAATACTCATTAACATGTTGCCCTTCATCACACATGCAATATGATCACTTGATGAGTGTTATGGTCTCAAATCTAATGAGCGGCCACACTTCAATCAAAATTCAACAGTGCCATGTGTAAGTCTAAAGCAAAAGACACATGGACTCCTATTTCCTTTGTTTCTTTCTTAAAAGTCTAATACATTATATATATAATATAACCTTCAATCATACTACACTCGTATTAATGCCTTCCCAAAGGAAAAGACTTTGTGCATCAATGTATAGACTATTTTATATTCCTCGCAACTTTTACTTCATATTCAAGTATGTGTCTGTGTGAATGTGTGTGTATATAAAGGTAGGATCTCAAGCAACCGGGTGATTCTCAATAGAGATGGTATTAACCTCATCATGGCTTATTCTTTTTCTTCTCTCTGCTGTTTCAACCAAGTTCTTTCCTGGCATAGGATCATGTTTCACTACCCCAAAATGAGGTCCCAAAGCTTTAGAGACAATGGTATGCGTGATCCATCAGCTTTGTTACTCCTACATATGAATCTTCTTTCATCTGTGTAACAAATAAGATGTTGCTTGTTCTGATATGCTGTGTTCTTCGATATTGTTGTCGATTTTGATCAGAAAGCAGTGTGGATGCAAACATGAGTGTTTTAAGAGAGAGAATCGGTAGAATCAGAAAGAGAGAAAGGCTTGTGGATAGATGTGGTTGGAACTATAAGAATGAAGTCTATGGGGAAAAGTTTAAGAGATCATCAAATCATCATCAAGCTTTCATATCAGAGTTTGCGGAATTAATGGCCATAACCTGTGGTTCTATAGGACTTGTCTTTCTTACTGGTTCTCTCTGCATCTTCCTTTTATCCCTCTTGGTGTTTATATCTAAAAATTAAGTGTGAACAATATATACTCTCTTGTTCGCAGCTTCTCGTCACATCTTGAACAAAAAATCTAACTTTCCGGCATGTTTGTCAGTTTATGTTTTTTGTTTTAAAGTTATTTTCACTTTGGTTTTGTATGTTCTATTAAGGTTTTGTATTAATCGCACCTATATGAGTAGTCACTTTTATCAAAATAGCTTAAGTTATTTTGGATGCATTCATCACACATACTTGTATAATTGTGATTAATCCTCTAATTGCTTGATTTGAGACTTCATATACATCCAATATTTCTCTTATCATATTTTTCTTTTTATTAGTATTATTTTTTTAATGTCAATTTTTATTTTTGTTGGGCTTGTTCTGAGTCTTAATTAAAGGCCTTAGTACCCATACTATAATACTATCTCCAATCCTACTTATAAGACCTCGTTTGTAGTCTACAAACGAAGTCTTATAAATAATACTGGAGGTAGTATTAAAACTCAACTTATAGTCGACTAGTCAAACCAGCAAATTGGTTAACCAATCCTTGGCAGTTCAGAGAAAAATTTTAGACAGGTCAATCAGGCTAGATTTTATATTTTTTTCTTTTATTATTGAGGCTAAAACCACGTCATTTTAAGTTTACTAAAAATGACAACATGTCAAACTTAGGCTTTGGTAACTCTTGTTTTATTGGATCATGTATAGCTTATATATGCATGTCCCATTTACCTGCGTGTGAAATACTTTTTATTCAAATATTACTCTTTAAAGGATTTTATAATTAAATTATATTACTATCCCCGGTCCTAATTATAAGACATTGTTTGTAATTTACAAATGAGATCTTATAAATAAGATCGGAGGTAGTATTTTAATTATTACTAGGTTGATCTCTATTCAACTTGGACCACTGATGATTAAATCACTACCTTGATCAGTTTATTTACCCATCTTATTTTCTATGCCTTATCGCAAACTTTATTTTTCTTCTCCATGTCCATATAAAGTCAAGTAAATGTTTCGTGTAACTATCAACCTAACACAATCCTCCTCTTTTATATCTAAATCATAGGAACTAACAAAAAAAGAAAAATGTATACAAGGTTGAAGAAATGGATGACATTTTTTGTTTTGCCAGAGAAATGGATGACATTTTTAAACATATAGTCATTTGCACAACCAATAATAGCGTAAGTTGATTTATTTATCTGATTTTATTTGATGAGATAGGTCTTGTTGCTGTAATTCTATATTCTCCTTGTTATTTTTGTCACATAATTAAGGAAGCAGGGTCGGGTAAAAAAAAAAAAAACATAACGAAGCAGATGGCAGAAAAGTCAAGCCGTTTTCATGGAAACGGGTGTCTCAATGGAAAAGGATAAGAATAAAGGGAAGATGACTTTTAAACACATAGAACATATTAATACTCCCTCAAGTCTTTTTTTATAAGAGCCTAATAAATAAATTATGCAGTTTAAGAAAATAATTAAAATTAGTTAAAACTAATAAATATGTAATAATAAACTTTATTTTTTCAAACATGCCCTTATTTATAAGGGATAAGTAAGAATGACAATGTATAGTGAACCCTTTAATTAATGCAATCTATAAAATTAATTAGGGGCAAAAATGGTAAAAACATATCAAATGTTCAGATAACCACAAAGTGGGATCTTATAAAAAGGACTAAAGCAATTCAAATTTCAGGCTTTTATTAAAAAAAAAAAAAAGAGGGAGTAATACTTATTCTTTTACTATTTCTTTTTGTGACCAACACATTTTGAATTTGTAATGTTTTAAAATGGAAATCCTACCAAAGAACGCTAGTATTGATTTTACAGCATTAATATAACTCCAACACATAATTATTTTTAAGCTAAACTAAACATAACCTCTCATAAATTTTAAACCATATACCATTATGTCTGAAACCTTTGAGAGTTTATAATAAATTCTCTAATCTCTTGCTTTTACGCGATAACTTATCCCGTGAAAGTCGGGGAATTATTTATATATCAATCAAAATTGGGGATTATTATATGCATATATAAAAATAAAGTTTAAGGAAGATATATAATTGATAACTAATAAGGGTTATCGACATCTAACCGTTATTTGTAAATAATCCTAAGCATATAAAATTTTATGCAGTCTAGCATTATCTTCATATAAAAAAAAAAAAAGAAATTATGATAATAGCTTATTGGAGAAATTTGTTGTTTGCATTAATTTGGATTTCGAGAGTCATAAATTTCTACTTCTCACCTTCGTTAAAAAAACGAATTTGTATGTCTATATATAGTTTAATGTTAAGTAATTACAAATCACGAATGACTTGGGACATGTATCTTATAATTTAGGTGGGGGCACGTATAAGGACCAATCCCCTTTATACTTAGCATCCTTATCTTCCTTCAATTACTACCACTAATTAATAATTAATTATTTACGAACTAACTCCATGACATTGCCTAACATTTGGTTTTCAATGGACACCTATACTCCCCCCATTGGCCTTACATTAGATTATTAAGTTAAGCCAGAACCTTAAAAGTTTAAGGAAGTTCTGAATTTCAAAGAAAATGGTTGATTCATAGTTGAAACATCAGATTTGTGTTTTGTGTTTAAATGACATAACTCATATCTCACTTTAATTAATCAATCTCAATAAACTCAGAGAGAAATCATTAATTAATATTAAAAGAAACTTTCCGGCCATAATTATATATTCTTTCTAATGAAAAAATAATCCTATCGTGGAGTTTTTACTTTTAGTTTTAACAAACGTTCTCCCTGCACCTTCTGGTTGCCTGTATAAAAATCACTCACAAATAAGGGCTTTCCAGCCAGTTCAGTAACACCTTCGATTTCTTTGTGATAGGGCATAAGAGAAAGCCCTAATAAAAGACCTTGTTCTTCAGGACTCGATCTTTTCAAGTAAAGATGAGAAAAACTAGTTATAAGATAACACAGAAGGAAACCAGACATGATCACAACAAGTCTTTTGCATTACGAGAGAGAGAGAGAGAGAGAGAGAGAGAGAGAGAGAGAGAGTATTTCAAAAGCAACGTAGAAACATATATAGTCATATATATTAAACTAAGAAGTTTATTTAGGGAGTTAAGACTCCATTATCAGAACACGAAGCTGGCAGGCACCAGTACTACTTGTTTCCCTTCTCTGCAGAATGAAGATCACTGAAATAAGCTTGTGGGTTACTCTCGAACACATCCCTTGATATGTACGCTCCATCACCACCCGGCGCTTTCATATAGCCGCCGCCGCCGCCTTTGCTGCCACCCCCGCTGCCCCCTCCTTTGCTCCCGCTGCCGCCACCACCGCCACCTTTACCACCTCCGCTGCCCCCTCCTTTGCCTCCGCCGCCACCGCCACCTTTGCCGCCCATATTTTCAGAGGATCAGTACGACTGAGACTAATGTATAAGAGAGATCTTGAACTGGGGATGATCTCCATATGGGTCCATGAGGTGGTTATTTATAATGGTTTTCATAATGAATGCTGCAAATTAATGGTGGAATTGCAATTAACAATGCTGGTCTCTTTGCTTCCCGAAGCAGATATGAAGAACAAGTAGAGATTGGAATTAATATAAGCATATATATGGATGGATATGGACGACGTGGATGATGAATTCCGATGCCGACTCTTCGTTCTCATACTTATTTCCGCAGTGCATCGGATACAGAAACGTTTGAAACGTAAATGTAATTAATTAGGATTCGCAAACAACTGTGGTTATTAAAATAATTAGATTGTCTCACAACTTTATTTTAAAAATATAGTATAACGCCCCTTGAGATTTTCCTATGATGCTTTAATTTAATTGCATCAGTTAACAATAATACATTAAGGTGAATAAATAAACAAATAATGATTCTCAAAAATTTGGATTTTCTAGAGCAAAACGACGTTAGACTTCGGAGACACAGAAAATGATGTTGGAGAGTGGAGACCACATACCGCGTGCATATCATCCCTGAAGTCTCTCCTTACTTTTTCTAAAGTTTTTCTTTTTTTTCTATTTTGATGAAATTGGTTAATTCAAGTACAGAAATTAAGCTTCTCACACTCTATGGTCACCAATAATCAAAAAAATCCCACATGTATTTCTTGGAAGAGAACAATTTCTAATGGATATATATATAGCCGGCAACAAAAAGGATATATACACTCCCTGATCATATTTATAAGCTAGAAAGAAATGGTTTTTTCAGTCTTATTTATTTATTTTTGTTGTCAATTTCTTAACATGAATATAATAACAATTTATTATTCATTTATTATTGTATAAATTGGTATTATTTTTTTAAAGAGTATATATATATTAAATTAAAATAAGGATAAAGTTGAAAAGTGGTTAAAGTTTACCACATAGTTAGTAAAATTTAAAGCTTTTCTTATTTTCATTAAATAATGTTTTAAGTTACTTATAGGAATACAAATGACTCCGGTGAAAAAGAAAAAAAGGGACATAGGAGTCAACATATACTGCTGGGAACTTTTCACACATATTTGGGAATGACAGTTAATTTTCCTACTTTGCCCAATGATCTGATTTAATTTTCCGAACTTTGAATCTCAATTAGTAACAAGGGTAAAATGATAAAAAAGTAATTAATAAGACTGTTGGTAATTTATATTTGGGATTAAAAATTGCGTCTAAAAGATGTTAGGAAACAGAGTGGGTATATACTCTAAGTAAACTATAAAGAGAGATGTTTGTCACTTGTAGAATTAAGAAGAACATTAAATAGATGAAATCTTCTACTTACAAGTATATTTTCTCTCACTCATTCCTCTCTCTTAACCTTTACTATAATTAATAGGGGTGGAATTGAAAATAAAGCATTAAAAAGGTACAAGTGACAAATTAAAAAAAAATTAAAATGCCTCCTTACAAATTAAATAATAAGAAACAGAGTGGTACCAATTAAAGTAAACTTTATTTTCTAATATTTGAGAGACAGAAATTTGTGCACGTAAAACAAAAATAATGCAAAGGATAAAATTGTTTTAAACTTACATATTCCTTACCAAATCCTCGATATATATATATATATATATGTGTGTGTGTGTATGTATATATGTATATATAATGCCGGCAACAAAAAGGATGTATATGGCCCCTGATCCTATTTGTAAAATAGAAATAAATGGTTTTTTCAGTCCTTTTTTTGGCCGAAATGTTAATTCCTCTTTATTAAATTCTTAACATGAATATAATACTTTACCATACATTTATTACTGTATAGATTTTTTTTAAAAGTGTAGTATCTATTAAAATAGGAATAAAGTTGAAAAATTATTAAATTTTAAGACAAAATTAATAAAATTTAAGATTTTTTTATTTCGGTAAATAATGTTGTAAGTTACTTATAAATAGAAACATAGGAGTCTACATATTAATCACAGATTCATAAATTCATAAATACTGCAATTAAGTTAAACTTTGTTTTCTAATATTTGAGAGATAGATATTTGTGCATCGTAAAAAAAATAATGCAAATGATAAATTTTTTTTAAACTTACATATTTCTTACCAAATCCTCAATTAATCATCGACGAAAATTAAAATAAGGAAAAAAAGAGTAACCGAATTTCCTGTTTAATTCTGTCATAAGACTAAGAGCACAACTAATGGGCTTCTAGGTTAGGCCCACAGACACACTTGTGAAAGACAATTCTGTATTTGGGCTCTTTTCTTGGGCCTCCCGTATTTGGGCTCTTTAAGCCTGTGTCATTTAGCGATTGCCTGCCATGCAAAAAAATCGGAGAAAGTAAAATTTTCAGAAAAAGCAATTAAAATTCTATTAGTTACCCAAACATTGTTATTCAAAAATTGTTATAACACATAATTTTATAAAATTTTTTTGAAAAAAAAAACACAGAAATAAACAAGTCCTAACTTTCTAGATCCTATTTATAGGAACCTTTTCGGACACCTTTTTTTTTCCTTAAATCAAAATTTCGGAAACTTTTTAGACCATCTTATGGGACTTTTATTCCCACTTGTCTTCTGCTGTATTAATTTTTTTCATGAAAACTCTATTAAGTAACCCGCATTTCTCTGAACAAATTTATAATTAATTAGGAGGAAAAAGAACAAGGAAGTGTGGCACCAATAATTTTTAAGGTAATTGTTAAAAGAAATTTAAAAAATGGGAAAATTTTAAAATATAAATCTAAAAGTACAAAATTGCCCCTAACTGCACACTATGATTTCCTTCATTTGCACGTTTTTCGTATTTCCTTTTAAGGTGTAGGGGTGTTCATAGGACATGATAAGACAGGGATAGGGACAACCCATCCCAGTCTTGTCCCAGTAATCATGAAGGGATGGCTTTTTGGTCCTAGATAGGATGCCACATAACGGGAATGAGATAGAGACGTCCTGCTTTTTGTTTTTGAATTTTTTGATTTTTTTAATTTGAAGCTAACTACACATGAAGTATAAAAATTCATAACAAAAACTATATAAAGAAAATAGATTAAAAAAAAAGAAAAAATTTGAAGTAATTAAAAATTAGTAAAGAAGAAAATATTTTTTGTAATCTTGATAAACAAAAAATAAACAAACCTAAAATATTCATTAAAAAAACATGTAATCCATGCTGAACGACATGTAAATAAATAATCAAAATAACAATTGATAAATATTATTACCATATTACTATTATAGTGATAAATCAAATAAATTTATAAAAATTAAAAAGAAAGATACTATATCAGGATGAGACCTAGAGGGGACACCCTTGCCCTGTGCCTCGTCCCATCCCAAAACAATTTTATTTCATCTTGCTTTTGTCTCGTCTCAAGAACTTTCAGAACAAGATTGTCCTGTTCCAAAATGATTAGAACAAGAGTGGGACACGATTGAACACCCCTAGTGTTTGGTTTAACCCAAAAACACTTTTAAAAAGTGATTTTATGTAAACTGAAATAAAACTCCTCTTATATATTTATTTTGTATATCGTAAAATTATTTTTAAAATCATGGTTTGGTTGCAAAGTTGATAGGATTTTTGCAGGGTCTTAATTTATGCTGGTCAAAAGGACACAGATAGGTTATATTACATAAGGATTGTGCTGAAGCCCTCTTTCTTTTCTGCAGGAAGTGAGCAAGTCACCCTTTTAATGATATTATTGATGAAGCTAGGCTTTTGTGTGGCAGGGAATGGTCCATTCTCTTGTCTCTTCTACCAAGAAAGTCCTTCTCCATTGCTGATTACTTAGTGAAACACTCCCAATCGTTGGAGAGTAATTTCTGTATTATAGATCAACTAGCTTCTGGTTCAGAGGGGGAGGTTGACAGAGGAAACCAAGTATTTGTTGTTACGTCAAGGTTGTTTTGATGTTTTCAGTCTTTATTCTAAAAAAAAATCATGATTTGATTTCTGTCTAAATACTTTTTAAATTCATTTTAAGATGAGAAGAAACAGAGAGACAACAAACTACAAGTTTGCCTTTTTTTGATTATTTCCAATAAGAAAATCCTTGCACATATGCACAACACGGTTGGGTCATGATCATCTTGAATCATCACCTCGGAGAGCACAACCCACTCTGTTTTAGATGAGAGTGGCTTTATGAAAGGAGGACCAGAAGCACCGCAAGATGGGTGGCTAGGAAAAACTGGAAGACGCTAGCCTAGATGGTTCTGGGATGAATTACGATAGCAACGGGTTAAGAAAACACGAGGGACGGAGGAGAAAGAAAAAATGAAAGATAATTTGGTAATTTCAAATTTATATTTTAATATTTGGTCTCTTGAAATAATTATATTTTTCATGATCCTTCCTAATAAATATTACTTTTTTTTAGGTCCTTGGCTCTAATTTTCCGTTTAAAAGTTTGTCGACAAATCCCTCTATAACTATTAACTTGTTTTTTCCATGCCCTCTAGGAGTTACCAAAACCAGTTTAATAATATTATTTATTGATGATATTGATATTGATAGTAATATAGAAATTTCATTTTGATTTAGAAAATATTATCATTGCTTTGTATCTAGATTGAAAGTATCATTCTTTTTTCCCCGGATGAGTTTAAACTATTTGTTTATGTTGGAATATTTTTAAAATGAAGAGATGCGTTTTTGAAAAGTCATGTCTTTATATAAATTTATTAAATTAATAAATTTATATAAGGGGTTATATCTTCATATAAATTAATAAATTTATTTGAAGGGTTATCTTCATATAAATTAATATATTTATATGAAGGGTTATGTAGGAAGTTAAAACATTAAATGAACCTACATACTAAATACATTGTATTTAACAAAAGGTCATGTAGGAAGTTAAAACATTAAATGAGTATAAACACTAAATGCATTGTATTTATTTAAATTATATTAATTCATGAACCAACATATGATTATGACT